GAGTCCACACCTGTCGCCTACCGTTAGTGTTCTCATCTTGCCACCTACATCTCTGCTAAATTTGAGTACTCTACGCTCAGGAGAAAAGGAGTTAGAGATTTGTCGCGAACTACACTATTCTTGCAAGCCCCGCCCCTAGTGGGCGGAGCCTAGCTTAGATCACGTGTACCCAAGGAGTTTGGCTCATTTTCCACTTGTTCATCCCCAGTCCCCACTTGTTCCAACCTGTCTGAGGTGTTCCACGTGTTTCGACGCCCTATATACAGTGATAGTGATAAGATAGTTACAGTGAAACAGACATACAAACATACGAACATACAGAAAAACGGACATTTGTGGTTTATATATAGTAAGGATTGTAGTGACACCTTTCTTACCCCGAACGTGCGATATCGCTTCAAGTTTTTTGCATATTTGTACACGCTATATTCATAGTAGGATCACCAGTAAGTATCTCTTCACAGATATATGTGTTGCACGAAATGTTAGGGAACAAAACCGTTTCTCACAATTGCAACAAGTAATAAAAAAAGATTTATGTTTAGAGATTATTTCGTGTTGTTAAAGAAAAGATTATGTCGTGTTGCTTTACAGTCACTTACCGAGTCAGAAGGACAGAATTGCGTAGGCGTCTCGAGTTGACCCTGGTGAGTGTTTAATTAACCGGCGACGTGTCATGAGTAAAAGGGGAAGCTTCTGAATCTGACAGCCCAAAACTAAAAGTTGACTTTTGTGAGGTAGTATGCCACGCCACAAGTGTATGAGCACAGGTTGAGATCGTCAGCTGTTACGTGTGAGGAGATGATCATACACTTGAACGGCAGCAAGAAGTGAGCAATGTCTGGCTGTACTAGCCTCTATGTAGAAGCATGAATGCTCATTACCTCTACGTGCCCTTGTGGAGGTAAAGCGGACTAAACAGCTTCATGATTCTTAAATGATGTCCAAAATCCACTATCGGCAGCATTGGTCTCGATGGTTTCGAAGTCGCCATGCACGATCGTACTCACTCTAGAGCCCGTGAGGACTCTTGACTAGGGGCCATCAACGAAAACTCAAGGTGTAGTAGTGAAAGAATATGTAGTTGTTACCATTCGAGCCTCTCGAGGCCACAGATTGAAAAGACTGTGCATATTGTTCCAGAATTCCATCGTGAATGTAGAGGATAAAGAGGATCAAAACTTTGTCGCTGGTCGATTAAGCCTTTAGAAAGCGCCCCGTGCTCGATTCCCGTTCATAGTGGCTTAGAATGCATATACGGCGTATGGTATAACTTGCGATAACTAGGCAATGTATACGTCAGTGCTTTCGACCCCAGACGAGCGTGGTACCAAATAACCGACCCCGATGGAATGAAGGACTGGTTAGCCTAATAGTTGATAATCGATACGGAGTTCCATCTACTGACCATCCGTGTATATTAGCTTTCCATCTGCCACCACACCGCATTCGCCCCACTGTGAGTATAGGAAGTATAATACAGAAATGCAAAAGAATTGGAGCGATATTGCATGTTCGGGGTAAGGAAGGTGTCACCACAATCATAAAAAAGTTGTAAAATGCAATAAAATCAACATAAAAGGATAGGATAGGCTACAGGAGAAAAATTCATCTAATCCAAAATTCTCACCCCCACAAAACCCAAGCCCTGGTCTCTCGCACTTGAAGAGTCATTTACCACTACTCCAAACCCCCATTGAACGATTTTGTGTATCCATGAAACTTAAGTTTTCTTACGTTAAGCTGTCACGAAACACCTCATAACTCCATTCAGAGAATGTCGGCAAAATTAGGAAGCAAATTTGAGATGAGCATCCGAATACATTCCAAACGGCCACTTCGACTTGGAATCCTTCCCTGGTTAGAGGAAAGTGTGGAATCGCGTTGCACAGCATGTTCATGGTGATCCTTTCAAAACTGCGTTCCTTCTTTGAAGTACCAGGATAGATTGTTGTGACTTGCGTGTGGTCGGCACCTTTGAATAAAAATGCCATATCTATCGGCCTCTCTTTCGAATTTCTGTCAGCTGTCTACGGTGCAGTACGGTTATGGTCCTCTCTTGATATTGTATAAATTCCATCGAGCTATCTGGCAGAGTTACACTAATCGAAAGTTGCTTTCGTCCACACAGTTTCGTTTGCACACAGTGTGTGTAGTTTTTTGTGTCAGTCTGCAAAAATAGTCGACACAAATAATTTGAATTAGTAACAAAAAACCGTTGATACACATGGTTCGCCTGAAGAGGTCGCGCATTGCCACTGCGCGTCGGGGACCGTTCAGTCGTTGCGGGCAACTGTATTTCAATTGGCACTACTTCTCCATGCTACAAGCAGGCAAACTTTGAGCGCTCACAACTTTTTTGGTAGAGTCATTTGACAGTTTTGATTTCTAAATTTGACAAATAGCATTGCAAACCATATCGATATACCTAGGTCTCTACTCAAGTGACGATCGATTCTGCAACTCCTTCCTTGTGAGAAATCCGAGTAGAAGTCGTCGATGACTTTATCGCTTCACTGCATAGCTTCACATGTTTGGACACCTTACTTTTAGATCAGGCGGCTCCACGCCAAGTTATCAGCTTGGGAGCCATCGAAGAGATAGTCTTTAGATCACTTGTGGACTCCCTGGTTCCCAACTATTATAAAGATGTTCGACAAGTCGGTTGTGTTCCTCATCGATGTTGTCGGTAGCGAAATCTTCCCATAAACTCGCAAAGAAAACGAGGAGATTCGCGTTGACGGCTTCACTGAAAAACAGAAAATAGTGCGGAGGAAACGATCTTTCGATTCCATGTAGAAATTCGTGAAAACAGCGAAGTCGTCGGGCATGTTTTCGACTTAAGGGCACAGTTCACGATAATTTCGGATAACTCAGACTATGACGAAAGGTTGGAGACAAGATGGACAATAGTGCGATGGAGGCGAAGGAACTGCTTGGATCGGTGTTTCCGAAGTGAAAAAAGGCTTCGAAAAATTGCCAAAAAGGGGGCCGGAGGAGAATGAGGCCAGAAGAAGGAAGAAGAGTGGGGCGTTTGGACGGGCTACGCCCATTGCGTAACTGCGTGCGTGTGGGTCCTGGTGCAAATAACTGACTACGGTAAGCAAAAATTCATCTACTTATGACCATAAGCAAACAAAAAACCCTAGCTACAGCAAAAATAGCCCACCCTTTTCAGCCTTTTGGGGTAAGAAATTAAAAAATTGATCGCGGCAGCAAAAAGAATAACAGAGGAAATAAGAATGGGAGAAAAACATTGCCTCATCACTCGGCGACCAACTGACTATGTGTGGGTCCTAGAATGAATAATTACAATCTGTATTGCCTCGGCACTCGTCTGACGTGACATCGATCGAGAGGCGGGAAAGTCACTCAAGACAGACAGGGCTTCCACTTATAGGAAGGAGGAAATGAACTCGCGCCTTTCTCTGACCTCTTTGGGCTTTTTTTACCCCCAGTATCACGGCGAGAGGGATAGGGCATATCATCCAAAGCTACCCCAAGTGCCTATGGGTCAGTTTAGCGGCGGTCGACCAAACGACCGGTTGTTCCTAGAGGTGGGTTGAACATGTTTAGGGCTATCATGCCCGTTTGGAGACATTTAGTCTAGAGAACCGGTTTTCTGAAGTTTATATGTTGAATGAAGGATGGATAATGATAATACACAGGTTTTCAGGCTCTGAAGAAGGCGATTACGCCGGAACGTAAATTGATAAGAACTTGTTTAACATCTTGGCAGCAGGTTTTAAAAAAGTCTTATAACATTAATGCAAGGCTTCCACTATGTTCTGACCGTCGAGATTTTGGGAGCGAGAGGGTCCCTTCTACCACCCATGGGGGCCACTGAGTATTTCTGAGGGAAGAACTCCGTAAACATTTTTATTGTGAACCGTGTCTTTAAGATGATAAGATCCATTTCATTGCGAAATCGTCCTCCAGGTGGCTCCCAAGTCCATCGTATGTAAAGGAACTTCAGAAACTGCGAATCACCATGAATGTTGTGGGTTGGTATGATAAACTCTCCGCTTATTCTGTTCTGTCCCGTGTGTCTTGACGTAAAAAACTACATCCCTCCTTTTGAAGCCACTCGCGATGATCCTGATGGTGTTCCTTTTAGAACTTTTCCAGATTCTTATAAAACTCTATTATTCTTCATGGCTTGATGTTGTTTATACGATGGAGGTTGTTGGAGCGGGGGTTACGCCACATCTTCTCAATCACAGTCTTCCGATGCGTGTTGTGAACTTTCGTGCCAGTCGATGTCCGTGGCCGAATGGTCCTGAGAAGCAGTCCTGTTCCGCTGACTCCTTTGGTGTTGCACGTTTCAGAGAACGGTTTTTCTCCTATCTGACGTGCAACAGGCAATCCTTCTCGTCTCGGTCAATCCGACGACGTCGTACTTGGTCTTTCAAACATGCATCATCAGCTCTTCGATACGCGATTCCGATGCAGACGTTTGTACGTTGAAAGTATGGACTGCCAACTAGTCCTTCTTTTGTGCAGGAAGTCTCAGATTCTAGCTGCCTCTCCCTAGTGATCCTTCCAACTAAGTGGCAGCACACACGAGGAGTCCATAATCGCTCATGACCACGCCAAATCCCACACAGCTACAATTGTACAGCAAATTTCTAACGGAAATGTTCAATTCTACGTCACATTTGCCAGACTTACTAGGATGCGACTTTTGGTCAACGGGAGGTAGGTGTCAAAGCAATTGATAACTGGTCGACTACCAGAGCGGACTCAAAAAACATCTTACACTTGGTGAAAAAAAAAATGGTTTGGTGCTCAGGTGTCACTTGGAGGCTGGGGATGGATCGCTGACATAAGCAGAGTGCTTGACGTATCATTAGAATACCAACTTGCTATCTTCTTTGCTCCTTCTAAATGACGTGGTTCAATAATTTTCGAGCACTCCAATGCGAAAGTGTAGGACTCAACGCGACTAATAGTGGTTGAAAAGGTCAGATGGAGTAAAATCAGAATAGAGTGCAATTGATGAAAACATTATCACAAGGTGCATGCTCGAATCAGCAAAAAATCGACGTTTTCAGGAGACAGGACCGTTTTTTAGAGTCTATTTCTCTTTTAATCTATCTATTCTCTTCGGTAGACCGTCGCTGACATTTCTCAGATTTTTCGGAAGTGAACAATTTCAGATTCAATTGCAACGTAGACGTCATTGTTTCTGGGACTCAAATTATCGAAAATTTGAACACAACTTGTGAGAAAGGCAAGGATCACGAAAATCTCGAATCTCTCAGTGATCTACATGAAACCTTTGTGCATTTCTTCCAAAGAGGGGCACCCGCTGAAAGGTAGGTATACTGTTTATCAAAAATGTGAATACCTACATTAGGATATTGGATCGTTCTATAATGGCTACTTTCTGTGTTCTGTATTTGGACAGTGTTTTTTCTCAAGCCAGAGCTCCGTTGTGGATCAATGTTTCCAGGGGCAGCTTTTTAGGAGGGAGCTCTTTATCCGTGGCTGTAAATTGTGACCAATGGGCATCATCAGGTGGCTTATTAAACAAGTCTAATCTACGTAATCGAAGGGTATATCAACTCAATAATTCATGAACGTGAATAACGAAAGTGTCCTAAATAAATAACCCCGTAAGCTGTATATTCATGTGAGGGTATGTTTTGAACATTCATATTTTATGTACATATGTCGGATGCGTAGACATGCTTATAAGTCGGATCGGAAACTCATAAAATCTGTTGCTCCGGGTCTATTCTACTTAGGTCTTCATTCGAAGCTTGATATGAGGTTGGAACAACTTCTAGTAGGAATGGTCTATCCGAGACCGCGTCGCGCTCGCCACGTTCCGGAAAAAACAGTGGACGGATACGGTGGCAGCCGCGGAAGCACTACCGTGGGAATTCGGGGAAAAGTAGTGCTACCCCTCCATGGTTAGCTTTAAAATGGGCGCAATTGCCCCCGGGGTAGAGCTTTGATATGGCGTCGTCTCAGATAACTGGCGGTAAGAAGTGAAAACAACCAATAAGAGCTGACTATGGGCCTTTGGCAAGATTACCACTGCAGCATTGAGGTGTAAGGTGTGTTCGTGAGGTTTGTGTAGGCTGCCTCTGGAGAGTGAAGTGGAACGAAGGGGAAGCTTGATAAGGGATTTTATGAAGTACGTGTCGGAAAATTTTTAACGAGCTGTTCCGTTAGAGAATAACATCAACGCTGCAACTTGTAAAAGTGAGAGGATAGAGAAACAGATGATGAGTTGAAAAATTAATATTTAGAAGGATGAACATATAAACGTTTTCGGCTCAGATCAATTATATTTTGAGATAAGCTTGAGCTTCAGAGTTCTATCCAGAATCGTATTAGTGGATGCAATAAATAGGTAGAGGAAGTTGATCTACAGTGAGTGCTTTTGTCCTCGCCACTATCAGTAAAAGGAAAAGAAAACTTGGCCGCTTGTGAATGCTTGATGCTTGAGCATTGATTTTTGAGCATAGTGCGCCGTTTTGCTGCTCTCCACATCCTTGTTAGATGTGTTGTGTTACAATGATCAGGCTCATGAAAGCCAATATGATACGAGGATAAGAAATTTGCTATATTGCATGCAGTTATAGTGCTTACCAAACGTTTATTGTTCTAGAAGAATCGCTCTTTTGCCATACGTCCAACTTCAGTGGCAACAAAAAGTGTTCGACACCCGATTCCGTGAAATCGTGGCGAAAATTCGTCATCTGCGAGGAAATACGAGGCTCTAGACAAGCTATCATTCATCAACAGCAGCATTGTGTGGGCGTGTGATTGATGTAAAGTGATAAGGAGCATTAGAGTATTGAAGCCGTTTAGTCGGTTGCGTCTCCGGTACAGCTATTGCATAGTAATGCCCCGTTCTCTGAAATTTTGAAATATACAGCTTATAGAAGCCATTGCCTGTCGCAGCCATCATTGAAAAATGTTGACAAACAACTTATGCTCATAAGTATCGCAACTCTTTTAGATGGCAGCTGATGAAGTAGCAGCTTCTGAGACAGGTGTTAAAGTTCAGGACTCTTCCTTCCCATCTACAGTCAAAATAGCAAGTCAGACCAGATATTTTGGTCTAGGGAACGGTCCCTAGACCAAGAGATCATATGGATTGAAAATGTATCCTCGGTTGCTCACCAACTTTATATAGCGGCTCTTTGAATGAAACTTCATCAACGCATATTTTATGTGGGAGCGGATATTCGACATTCGAGAGAACTTTTTCTGAGACCTGAAATTTCCTCATCCATTTCATCGCGTTCCACGACATTTTTGATTTTGTGGTGATTCTTTATCTGTCCGAGGGCAATGTCGTACTATTTTTATAGTTCATTCGATCTTGATGGAAAAGCAAACTCAACGATCGTGAACTTCAAAAGGTGCGATAAGAGTAGATGGGGTAATGTAGTCAGTTTTGCCGACGCCCATTCCTTCACCGTTATTCGTTGCACTTTTGCTGATGACCACCTGACTAAATGCTTTTTATAATAAAGGCCGGATCAATCATAAAACCTTCTGTATTACACACGTCACCTAACCTCACTCAATAAGAAGCACTGAGAGTTACCGTAAAATGGATTTTATGTGAGTAAAATGCATATGTTGATCAAGCAATTGATGTTTGAGTGTGTGAGATCCTGCTTAGCGGTTCTAGACTCATCAATGTCGATATTCTGAATAATGGTCTCCTGGACATCTGAAGGTCGTGAAGCTTCGGTCCGCCTCACCCTCATGAAAGCAGCTGGAGACATCTAATATCTCAAAGCGATATGTTAGCCGTGGCTAAAGGGTACTAGAGCTCGGATAAGACTAATGCAGTAGTAGGCTTCTTCACCAATGGCAAGATTCTTTGTTCCCCTTATTCTGGCTTGTCGCCTTCCACGCAGGCACTTACCGTGGGAATTTAGAGCCGCCTACTTAGTTCTGTTTTGCATTTGCCTGGTGGTTGGTGTGAACCAACGGAGCGAAACTTTCATTTATTGCCAGTAAGATCGCTCGGCTATTGCCGAGATCTTTTCGTGTAACGTTGCCCGTCGTCTGCGTCCCTTCCAAGTTTGGGCGATCCCGTACAGGGGAACAAGAGGTACAAATTTCCGGTCGAACACACACACACCCGACACACTTTATGCACGCCTCTCCTGTCATGAGCGCATTCTTACTCAGCTCATGTGTGTTTGAGTAACTTGGTTCTTCCCTCTCTTTTCAGCTCGACCGCACTCTGCCTCCAGCATCCTTTGCGAGTTTGAACGCCCCCTGTGCAAATTAACGATTTTCGCTAACACTCAGCCCTTATGGCTGGAGTCTATTCCTTCCAACTACAGTGAGCATTTTGATCATGCCGCCTCTACCGCTATACATGCCGCCTCTACCGCTATAGAACTTTGATGGTCTAGATCCAGGTTAACATTTTCCACTCACGCTCAAGGGCAAATTTCCAAAATTCGGCGGAAATTCAAAATTTGGTGAAAATGTAGTTGAAGGGGTTTGGAGACCGCTCTTATTCAACACTCACCGCTAGTGCGCGGAGAAGAAAAGGCGCCGCTTATTTTGATAGTGCTTGAAAGTGTTCTAATGCAACGGAGTAAAATAAACATAAAGTAAAGGCCTGAAAGCGTGTAGGAGCTCGAGGAAAAGCAGTTTTGTGCTGCTGTAGTTTTTCAAGAAGTGCGTTTATCTTTCAGATACATGTCTTCTGAGAGCACATTCGAGACGGTGGTCCGACAAGTTGAGTCAGCCATTCCTAGAGCTCAATACCATATTGGAGGTAATGCTGCTCTAATGGCAGAACGAATAGCATCCGGCTTCCCCAGCACTGAAGTGGGCACGAACTCATCCGATTTCCTACTTCCACTCTTTTAATTATTTTTGTTAATTTTGTAGGTCTACTTGGTTGGTCCAATCGGTCCAAGAAGTCAAGCACTATTGAATCCTTCAGTTAGAAGAACAAATTCAACTCGGATCACAAAGGTGAGGCTCATGATTATACTAACGAATAAATCGGGGCGGGTTTCTACTGAACATATGATACAAGAAAGGCGTCACTTCTTCAATACACTTCGGAAGAGGAAGGCGGATTCGCATGAACATTTTTCGGCTGCAAAGAGCAAGAGCGAGAGATTTGAATTCCTTGCGATGCATTTATTCTCCCAGCGTTTGTCGTTTCTTTCAATTTAGTTATCTATCTTATTATGAACAATCCGTGCCTCTTGGTTTGTCGGCGTTTTTGTTCAACCGGAAAATTATAGCTCCTGTCCCCCTTGATCTAAAGCATTCTAGATTGCAAGTGTCACAGGTGGCAGGATGGGAACACGATGGTAATAGTGACAACTTCTGAAAAGAATCGTAGGAGCCTTAAAGGGCAAAAGAAGCCACAGAATTTGTCACTCATTTTGAGAGAACGGGGAAGCCTGGCACTTTGGTAGGTGACGTGAGATGTGAAGGGATGTAGATGATTGGTGACAAGGACTGTCAACAACTGATAGGGACTGCTAGACACGCATAGAAGGTAAGAGCAACTAGGGTCATAACCCACTGTATGCTAACTATGAAACCTTGGCATTTTGATAAGTGATGAAGGTTGTGACAGGATCGTAGATACTCGATGACAGAAAGTGATAACAACAAAAAAAGAGCTGACAAGGGCCTCGTAAAGCAAGAGCCCTACAGCAATCAAAATTCTAACGTCTTCAGTACTTACGATGTGATTTTGACTATTAGGTATGTTTCATTCGGTAAGACGAGATGGTACAGTAAGTTGACAAAGAATGAGTGGTGAGTGCAGATAGGACCTGGTCAAAGGCACTTTATTATGAGGTGAACCCTTCACATCTTGCCTCCTTCCTGCCCTGCCTATTAATATTGATAGTCCTTTTTACTTACTAGGTGTAGATGGTGTGCAGTTTCGAGTTTCCAAACCTTGGTGCACAACATTATGACCCGCATGTGTGATGCTGTTCCGGTACATTTTTGCCACGCTCGTCTTCTCATCACCATACTAATTTCAAGAAAAATATAGCCAATTCACTAGAGGTAATCTCATGTAAGATGTGCGGCAGGATCCACCAAGAAAAGGGTGGGGACCACTATGGGGCTGATTCGGAGCTCTCGGGTCGGCCATGGGCGTGAATATCGACGCCCTAATGGGAGCAGTAAAGCTGACCCATATGCAACCACCACTAAATCGGCGGCTACACTCGACTTTCACCATTCTACCGCTGAGCAATGGAAAGAGGAGCTCGGCATGGTTCTGGAGCTCGGAACGGTGAAACACTAGCTTCTATCTCTTGAGAAAATTATTGACACCTAGCCATATGATGTGGTGTTTTCGACTTTCAAGACTCAAAGCTTATATCGACAGTTCACATAGAGAGCCGGCTGCGATCGGCTATGCCCATAACAATACCAACCCAGATAAGTTAACGCAGAATGAGCTGGAAAACCGTGTTGGGCCAATAGCCCCTGCCTTCTCTAATCGAGTCTTGCTTTATCGGGCTCTGAGCTATTCGACTACCTGATTCTATAACATCGAGTTCACGATCTTTTTGATCTCCCTTCTTAGAGCTAAAAAATTTAATCTCTTTGGTGCTCTATTAGGTCCTAAAGCCCACTGCGTCTAGCCCTTTTCGGGAATTATATGATGTTATTCATCACGTCTCTCTTGTATAAGGTGATGAAATCGTCATACCTCTTCGCCTTGCACTATGTCCTTCCTTCGTGATCCCGTACTTTCTGAACCTTTATCTTGCTTCATTTGGTATTCTAATCAGACCAGCCTCTTCTCGAACTTGATGTTTCGAGTTCTCAGTGAAGTTCTCTCTGTTCGAAGGGTATAGAATTTGCCTCCCTTTTCCTCGATTATGCTTGCTTCCCAATAACATCGCCATAGCTCTTTTTAAACACTAAAAACTGTTGTGTCTCGAGTATCTTTTTGCTGTGCTATAGCCTGCCTCTCCACTTTTTGAGCCTCCGGGCGCAGCATTCATTTCCAAATCTGTGTCATGGTGAGTTTTTGTGGCATACGTAGACGTTCATGCCTTTTAGAGCTCGAGGCTTTTGAAGTTGCAGTTGTTGGTATGCTTCCTTCTGCTTCACCATTTTTTGAACTTGATCGAAAGGATCTCATTCCTCTCTTTGAACAGATAGCCAAGTTAATTGAATCATTTATTCGATGATTAGGATTAGTGACCGTTCGGTCTATGTAAATCATTTCTCGATAACAATAAACCATACTTCTTGATGCTCACTACGTTTGGTGCTAGCGATGATCCTTAGCAAACCACAGAGTTTGCTGTATGTGAAAAGCAAACTATGTTCTGTCACAAGTTTCTGCATAGAGACGTAGGTTTGCAATGAAATTCGTTCACGAAGAATTCATCACTGATTAGCAAATCGATCATCTACCCTACAAAGTTAGTGTGTAGGATTTCCTTGCACAAAAGTGGAACCAGATTTAGGTCCCAACNAGTTGATCTGTTACACAAAAACATCAGAGGCAAAATAGAAGTTATATAGAAGAAGTATGTCAGCGTAGATGGTGGCTTGGACTATCACGCATCAGTGACATCGGAACTTAACAAAAGCTGGAAATCGACGTTGAAACAGGTTTAAACTTTTTGAACGGAGCACAGAATTTTTGCTCAGAATTGGCCATGCTCCAGAAGGGCATCTCTCGAACTCAGAACCTTGAACATACCATTTACTTAAGCGATGTGGATTTATTCTATGGATGCCGCAATTTCTTTCGCAATACAAATTGAACTATCCTGCGGCTTGCATTACAACTAGGTGTCCGACAAGACTGGGCACGGGATGCTGCGGCAGTGCTTGAAACAGCCACTGACTGCTCTGAGGGAGACTTACAATTCCCTTTAAAATGAAGCTATGCGGTTTAGCCGCAGGGAACGCAGTCCGTAACATGTTTAGAACCTTAACAACAGAAGTCCCGTGAAGTATGTCGCGTGCTATCAGGAAAAGTTATCATCTTTATATTTTGCGCAAAGACGACTCAGAAGGTCACCTACATCAGTGGAGGAAAAGAAACGGAAATAGGACAATGCCATAAGAAGATCGTTTCAAAAACTGTAAAGGATATTAAGGTACTGCCCGACGGAGAAATGCTCCGCAGCCAGGCACCTTGCGGACATGCCCATCGAACTCCCAAAGAAAGCAAAGTCCAAAACGAAGCGGACGATCTGATGGTGGAAGATGCACCAAGCCGAAAGAGAGGAACTCAAACGGAACATACTGAAAGCTGGCCTCCCATATCATGAAGGACCGACCCAACAGAGCAGGTGTAACACTGTAAAATCTTTCTACAGTGTGTGAGGGAAACGCCTGTGAAGACTCATGATGAATTCCGAGGAGATAAGGAAGCCTGGTTCTGGGACGATGAATTTCAGCGAGTTGTGATGCAGAAGAAAGCGGCCTTCAGCGCTGGCAAAAGACGCGAGCTCCACTAGACCTCGCTGCCTACAGAGCTTCCAAGAGGTTTGCACAGGCTACTGTAGCGAAAGCAAAGAAGGCGGGAAGGGACGCCTTGTACGAGAAACGCGATGGTGGAACATGCTTCTCAAGACATCGGTGTAGTGATGTCCGTCAAGTACAGCGAGGATGTTATTATCAGCAAGCCTGTTGAGGTCGGGCGTAGGCACAATGAATACTTCGACAGGCTTCTAAGTGAAGAATTAGACCGCAAGAACAGCCTCCAAGTAGAGGCGACGGCTGGTCCCAAATCGCACTCTGGACAGAGGATGAGGTGCGGAGAGCAACATTAAAGGTGAAGGTTGGAAAGCAGCTGAACCGGAGATCATGTACAAATCGAGCTATGGAAGCCGCTCGGAGAGCACGGTATCAAGTGGCTCACCTGGTCCTGCACAGTGTGACCATTGAAGGAAGAATTCCAGATGCCTAGAGAAGCAGCAGTCGTTCCCGTATCCAAAATAAAGGAGACGAGACGGAGTGTTCCAAGTATGGGGGAGGGGGTTCAGGCTTACTGCCCTCAATGAAACCGTACGAGCGGTTAGTTGACTCGTGATTGTGGGAACTCGTACAAATCTCACAAGAGCCGTTCGGCTTTATATCAGTAAGATCAACACGGATGCTACTTTACAGCTAGACAAGTGATGGAGAGGTATCGAGAAAAGCTTAGGCCGTGCTACTTAGCCTTTCTCGACGTAGGCAAAGCTTTTGACCGTCTCCTCTGGAAACGCTCCGAGAGCGAAACGCTCCGGAATGCCTGTTCTCCTTGGTGAAGGACATGTACGATGGATCTACGATAGCCGTACGCACTCCACACGACCTAACCGAGGCCATAAGCGTCACGGTTGGGGTACACCAGCGATCAGCTCTGAGCCCGTTCCTCTTCTACTCACACTGGATGTGATCTCAAGTAGGCTTCCGGATAGCCACTAGAAATCATCCTCCACGCTGATGACATTGCTCTGGTAGCGGACTGCAAAGAAGAACTGTAGCACAAGCTGCAGAAATGGCGGAAAGTAGCGGCGAAAAAAGGGCTAGACGTGAAGAAGACCAAGTTTCACAGTTCTAAAGAGTGCACGGAGTCAATCGTAGACAGTCTTGGGGAAGCTGTCAAAGAGTACAGGACTTTTTTTTCTGGGAAGTGACTTAGCCGCTGACGGTAGCGTGATCAAGCTGTAAAAGCTTGAATAAACGCGGAGTGGAGGGAGTCATCGGTATCCTCTGCAACCTCGGTGCTCAAAGGAAATATGTGCAGGACAGTGGTGAGGTTCACAACATTCGAACGTAGCGAGTCCTAGTCAGTCGGAGGAAATCATGAAAGACATATGAACATATTTGATCGGAAAGGTCAACGTTTCCCTGCGAGAGATTGCAATCGTCTACCGCCACCGGTCCTATTGGGTTGGCTTTTTTACAGATCATGTCACGCCAATTACAAGTAGGTTTTGTTTTTGTCATTCCACTAAGTCAGTCACTTCTTTGCTTTTCTGTGTGGCTACAACCTCTCCCCACTTGCAGTGCCTTCCTGACATCGGAAGGTGTCCGACTCGGTTTTTCTACAGGTTTCCGTACGGGCTTTTTGCTCTACTAGTAATTCAGTCAGAGTCTTAGGGGTTTAGAAATTGCGTGCTGTGACGGTTCAATGAGGTATGGCGTTATCAAATCCAGAACCCAACTTTTAGTGAAAATGAGCTAGTTCTGCTGTGCTTCCACAGGAGACGAACTCAAGTGTACTCACCAGCGCGCAACATAAATGCACGCATCTTCGTCGAAGCTGTTAACAGCCGCGAATTCTCCACTGAGCATGTAGGAATGGGTTAGATTTTGCAGGCTCTGCTAGACTCGTGGGTGGTTTTACACTGTTTTGCCGTACAGATTTGTTATGGCAGAAATCGCTTCATTGGTCGACGTTTCGGCAAATCGTCGTCTACAGGACCTGAAAGCAGTTCGGAGCTCCCGATCTGTGACTTAGCCAACCAAGCGCCCAAACACGCTAGCCCAGTTGCAACAGCTCCCAGTAACCTGAACACCAAAAGATCCCAACCGAGAAACCAACCTTCTGCGGTTCCACCAACGTTGACGTCCAACTCGATTTCGTGAACAAACAGGGACCAATGAGACACCATTGACGGACGTTGGAAAAGAGTTGCGCGGTGTTCTCAAAGCCCACAAAAAGGCATGAATGGCAGAAATTCGCCTGTTATGGCAATTCGCTCTTATTGGTTGTTCAGCTCGGGATTTCTCTCGTGGATGTGGAACGCTTCCAATATCTTTCTAGCACCGATCTCATTCTCTTAGGCTAGGATTTTGCGTTTGTTATCAAAATCATTGCCTTGATGTACTTCTAGTCGATGCTTCCCAAGTGATGTAAAGAGGCTTTCACGCCTTCCACGTGCTAGATGTTCTTTTGCAAATATGCCTATCATCCTTCCCGTCTCACCTATCTATTAAGTCGTAGGCTGAGCACTGAAGTTGGTATACCGTTCCTCGTTGTTTCAATCCCCGTCTTTTCCAAATAACGACAAATAACGAACGCAGTTATTCGTAGAACATGCACGATCTTAAAGTCTATTGCGGATAAGATGACGTTTCATATAGTCCGTCGGTAGTTTACCAAGACAACATCATTCGCCAGATCCGCTCGAGCAATGCATTGTCGAATTTCTGCGCAGACTTTATACGATATAAATGGAAGCCGGAGATGCATCACATCTTCACGGCATCCTCAGCCAATGCGCTTTTGAGCCTGACCAACTGTTTGTGTTCCATAGCCATTCCAGTTTGCGATCTCGCATACTACTGCATGCATGGTGGCTCCTCTCGTTCCACCTCGCCTGTATACACTCCTGTGGCTGTTCTGTACATGTTACGAACTACTGCACTTTCAAAGCTTCATTAAGAGCAGGCTTAGCGTGAAGTAAGATGTTCTACGGGCTGTTTTTCCGATACCACTTCACATGATACCTTCCACCGGAAAATTTTTATCTGCGTGTTCAGATAAGGAAGCCAGCCTTTGTGCGGAACTTCTTTGGTGAACCTGATATGCTGTGACTTTCGGTTGAGGATGTCTTCAATACCAATCAATACATCCATCTCTTTCTGCGTTGATGTAATTACGCAGCAGTTATCTATGTACCGACAGTACATAATGGGCATGCGCGCCATAACTGGCCTTTCTATCCTGCTCATGAAGTAGATAGCTAACCAGGGAAGGATCCCAACTCGAAGTGGCCATTTGAAATGAGATCTATACTGCTAGAGGTGTTTTAGGGCGCTGAATTCAAATCCGCTTTCCAAATCTGCCAAGCGATTCTCTGAACGGAGTTATAAGAGTGGTTCTAGGTGACATTACATGNAATCACCCGGGTGAGTGCTCAAGTAGCCGGCGGCATACCATGAATAAAAGAGAAATTTTCTAAATCCCATCGCCTATAACTGAAAATAGACAGGCGATAGTAAGCAAAGAATGGGGTCTCGTGTGTACACGTAAAAGTTGAGATCATGAGCTATTACATATGAGGTGGTGCGTTTAACCATATCTCTAGAAGGAAATAAGGAATGAGCTTCTATCGGCTGTATTAGCCTCGTGGTAGCCTCGAATAGGGTGTTATTCCCTTCACCTGCTTTTGTGGAGGTAAGACGCACTGAATAGCTTTCTGATCTTTGAATGATGTCCACGAGTCCACTGTCAACAGTACCGGAGTTGGTGAGTCCGGAGCTGCTACGCACCATCGCACCCTCCAGCATCAACACCCACTCTAGCAACATCATTGCTCATCATATGCGTTTGACTCGCCCGGACCTCCAAATTTTGCCCAGAAGGAATCTCCTACTCGGTGATAGGTAGGCAGGTAGGAGAAGGTATCGGCAAAGCATTAAAAGGTCATGAAACGTGATTAAATCACCATGAAAGTATTTCCTAGTCCTGGAGGGAAAAATTCTATATAATACAAAAACCCGGTCTCCCTCAAAACTCGAACCCTAGCCTCTTGCCCATGAAGCGTCACGCTTCCCACTACACCAAGCCGCCGTTGAGCAAGCTGCTTCCATGTAATTTAAGTTTTTTCATGTAATGTCACCTAAAACCACCCATATGACTCCGTTCAGAGAATCGCTTGGCAGATTTGGAAAGCGGATTTGAATCCAGCGCCTAAAAACACGTCTAGCAGTATAGATCTCATTTCAAATGGCTACTTCGAGTTGGGATCCTTCCCTGGTAAGACCGGTGCTAGCCGCTGACCCATAGCAAGTCCTCGCTTTTGGGAGAAGTACTGGCCGCTCAACTTGAAAATATTACAGTTAAGGTATTCCTTGATCAGAGCCATTATGTGAAACTTGCTCAATCCAAAGTCATCACAATTTCTTTTTCATGCTCGTCCAGCCTTTCGGAGACCGCTTGGAGAGCTTCGTCGTTGTTGACGTTCGCATAAAGCGCAGTTACATTAAACGACTCTACTACGTAGTTTTCTCGAAGCCTACATGAACGCAGGCGATCAAGAAATTCATTGGTGTTAGGCAGGTGTGAGGGTACGTATCGAAGTAGTTGACCAAAAATTTTGTTGAAGAACCAGTAAGTACGGTCCATTGGTCCTCCTACACAGCTGATGATCGGTCTGATTTTATAATCACTAGCATGAACTGACTTTCACTTCCAACAGCTTATGAGCCTTTGACGAACTTCTTGAGAAGGCCCAAGCATGACACAGCAAAAACCTCCTCGAAATCGCATCGTCGGGGCATAGAGGCAGGCATACTATATTTTTCAGATTATCTTGAGAAATGGAGGGACAAAAGATTAATAAATTAATTCTGATAAGTTTTGGATAAGCTGAGATTCCCGAATAATTAGTTTTGCTATGTGAAACCGTAACTGTTTTATGTGAAGGGCGGAGGTGGTGTAGTGGCAAGTGACGCACTATCTCACACGCATGGTTGGGGACTCGGATCCGGATCGATATCCGCCCAGGCCAACCAAGCCTTCCATCCCTCTGGAGTCGGTTTGTTGGTGCCGGACTAGGAGAGTAAAAGCACTGAATTGTACATCGACTGGTCGGCACAGGTCATTGTATAGGCCACATACGCACCCATTACGCCACTACGATTCTGAATGGAAGTCGAGTGCGGGGGCGCATCCCTCAGACGGGATTGATAAACGCCAAAAACTTGCGATGCAATATAGTTTCGATGAAATGTAAAGATGTGCTTGATTGCTGCCGTGAAATACAACTATGTTAAGGATGAACTCCACGTCATTTTGGAGTACAAACAAGGCGAAACGTTAGGCGATTGGATCGCTCCCAGTAGTAGTCGATTCATCACGAGTCATGATCATTTCAGGTACCGTCTATGTTCTTCATTTGAATAGTTACTGTGTTTTACTGATTCGCGATGCATTTAGGTTCTTTTTAGAAGTGACTAATAGCACCTATAAATTTATGTTTATAAAGTCTCCATATGCTTGCTTCTGTTCGTCCGGTTACCCTCATATTCCATGCAGCTTAACATAGCTATAATAAATTCTTTAACAAACCCTTATTGCATACAATGAATTTGAGTGAAGGCAGATTAACTTATTCCACGCATTCCAGCGGAAGCACCGTTGTGATGGAGATGTTCTTTAAAGCAATCGCTCAATTCAAACCGGACCTCATAATCATTTCTGGTATTCACACTTTAGAGTTCCAAGTCAGTGTTATGTATATTTTATTCATGCCATTGTTTTTTTGAAGTATATATCTAGAATAAAGAAATGCGACTCGAGAAATTGCGAATGATTCGTCGAAATCTTCTTCAAATATCATCGAAGGTGATGTTTGTCAGATGATACCTTCTTCTCATTACAATAATACTCATAAGAGTACTTGTTTTAGACACCGATTCATTTCGAACTAGGGAGTCTTGCCGATGCTACCTTCATGTTCGATATTCTTCATCGGGTAATTTCTTCCTTTCAAGAACAATATGCCATATATCTATTCAATGACTACCGACATCAGCATCAGAATTGGCCAGCAGCGCTTTCCTTCTACATCATCTACTTGCCTTTTGTTGGCGAAATGGCACATAGCATTCATGTGTTGCCTCCCAAAGTTTAACATTTTTAGCACGACATCTATACACCTTTAGTTGCTGTAAACACACAGCAAGTTTAACTAAGAGATGTGACTTCTCGAGAAAATATACGTCCTTCGCTTCTTATCAATTTTTTCTTTGTTAATGCGAATGCACCCTTACTGCTTAGACCCGTGCTTTTATACTTGACAATTTTAATGGAAATGAGCAGATGGACATATGAGCATATAGAAATTCTCCGGTCGAGGCTATCTTGCAGTTGATTTTTGGAGGGTTGTGTCTTGAAAGGGTCTAATTTTGGCGTTCAGTAGAAGAAATACTCGAAAACTATCTGTTACTTCAGATTATTCCCCATGTAGACTCACTTGGCATAAACGAGCAGGAATTGGCGTTTTTGTCACACGTGGCGGGAGGACCACACATGGAGGAGTATCCGGTGCAAGCTGGTACCGTTCATGCGCATAAGGTGAGCTTTATGTGGCTTTTTGTTTTTGGCCTTTTATTTATCTTATTTTATAAAAAGTTGCTGACTAGAGAGGTAATGTTGCTAAACTCACATTCTGCTGCAAAATCAAGGTGGAGATTTTGTAAGCATCTGTTTGTCAGGTAAGCAAGCAAGATCTAGGGCTTCAATAAAGTGACCGGTGTTTTGCCAGATGTCCTCATAGTTTATTGGTTGTGAGTTTTACACATATATACCAGTGAACTAGCGTTGCTTCGTTCTAAATTGAAATATTAACCTACTTTATAAAATTCGCAATCTGCCAATTTGTAGGTTTCTTTGTAATCTTTGTATCCTCCGTTGTCGTGGTAGCCTTGCTGTTGAACAGATATGACTACTCATCATAAGACAGGCGAAGTAGAGTGGGAAAATGACCTGCCACTTTACCGGGCTTTGATTCTATGACGGCAATAACATAAGGATAAGATCACCCTGAGTGGTTACCACCATAGCCACCAATACACACAACATCTCCCCCAGTAGAGAGGGTGGGTACAACACAATCTATTTACTACCCATACAATTTGAAAAAATGCAGTTACCAATCAACTTATCTCTCTCGTTTATAAAGCAGAAACTTGGTGTGTCGGTTTCTCGGTTTGGGTGTTTGTCGGTATGTCGGTATGTCGGTATGTCGGTATGTCGGTGTGTCCGTCCGCAAGCGTCTATGATTACGATAAAGGTAGTGATATGGAAAACCAATTCTCTCAATGAAGCTCTCACATTTCCTTCTTTACG